CCTTAGGACAAGTTTCCAGATTTTACAGCCCTCAAACGAGCTCGCCACTGCAAGAATCACCCCCCTATACGAGCGGTTCTGAGCCCAGAAAGCCGCGAAATCCGTGCCGGTATAAAATGTGGGTATAAGAAAAATCGAATCCTGGTATACCATACACGATCATGTTTGCCACTATCATACAGACCTTAGAGCAAGTTTCCAGATTTTACAGCCCTCAAAAGAGCTCGCCACTGCAAGAATCACCCTTCTGTACTAGCGGTTCTGAGCCCAAAAAGCCACGAAATCCGTGCCGATATGAAATGTGGATATAACAAAAATCAAATCCTGGTACCAAACACGATCATGTTTGCCACTATATTTCAAACCTGAGAGCAAGTTTCCAGATTTTATAACCCTCAAACAAGCTCGCCACTGCAAGAATCACCCCCCTATACGAGCGGTTCTGAGCCCAGAAAGCCGCAAAATCTGTGCCGGTATAGAATGTGGATATAAGAAAAATCAAATCCTGGTATACCATACACGATCATGTTTGCCACTATCATACAGACCGTAGAGCAAGTTTCTTGATTTTATAGCCCTCAAACGAGCTCGCCACTGCAAGAATCAGCCCCCTATCCGAGCGGTTCTGAGCCCAGAAAGCCGCGAAATCCGTGCCGGTATAAAATGTGGATATAACAGAATCAAATCCTGGTATACCATACACGATCATGTTTGCCACTATCATACAGACCTTAGGACAAGTTTCCAGATTTTGCAGCCCTCAAGTGAGCTCGCCACTGCAAGAATCACCATGCTATACGAGAGGTTCGGAGCCCTGAAAGCGGGGAAATCCGTGCCGGTATAGGATGTGGATATAAGAAAAATCAAATCCTGGTATACCATACACGATCATGTTTGCCACTATCACGCAGACCTTAGAGCAAGTTTCCAGATTTTACAGCCCTCAAACGAGCTCGCCACAGCTAGAATCACCCCCCTATAGGAGTGGTTATGAGCCCAGAAAGCCGCGAAATCCGTGCCGGTATAAAATGTGGATATAGGAAAAATCCAATCCTGGTATACCATACACGATCATGTTTGCCACTATCATACAGACCTTAGAGCAAGTTTCCAGATTTTACAGCCCTCAAAAGAGCTCGCCACTGCAAGAATCACCCCCCTATACGAGCGGTTCTGAGCCCAGAAAGCCGCGAAATCCGTGCCGGTATAAAATGTGGATATAAGAAAAATCAAATCATGGTACACCATACACGATCATGTTTGCCACTATCATACAGACCTTCGAGCAAGTTTCCAGACTTTACAGCCCTCAAACGAGCTCGCCACTGCAAGAATCACTTCCCTATATGAGCGGTTCTGAGCCCAGAAAGCCGCGAAATCCGTGCCGGTATAAAATGTGGATATAAGAAAAATCAAATCCTGGTATACCATACACGATCATGTTTGCCACTATCATACAGACCTTAGAGCAAGTTTCCAGATTTTACAGCCCTCAAACGAGCTCGCCACTGCAAGAATCAGCCCCCTATCCGAGCGGTTCTGAGCCCAGAAAGCCGCGAAATCCGTGCCGGTATAAAATGTGGATATAAAAAAATCAAATCATAGTATACCATACACGATCATGTTTGCCATTATCATGTAGACCTTAGGACAAGTTTCCAGATTTTACAGCCCTCAAACGAGCTCGCCACTGCAAGAATCACCCCCCTATACGAGAGGTTCGGAGCCTAGAAAGCCGCGAAATCCGTGCCGGTATAAAATGTGGATTTAAGAAAAATCAAATCCTGGTCTACCATACACGATCATGTTTGCCACATCACACAGACCTTAGAGCAAGTTTCCAGATTTTACAGCCCTCAAACGAGCTCGCCACAGCTAGAATCACCCCCTATAGGAGAGGTTATGAGCCCAGAAAGCCGCGAAATCCGTGCTGGTGTAAAATGTGGACAAAAGAAAAATCCAATCCTGGTATACCATACACGATCATGTTTGCCACTATCATACAGACCCTAGGACAAGTTTCCAGATTTTACAGCCCTCAAACGAGCTCGCCACTGCAAGAATCACCCCCCTATACGAGCGGTTCTGAGCCCAGAAAGCCGCGAAATCCGTGCCGGTATAAAATGTGGATATAATAAAAATCAAATCCTGGTACACCATACACGATCATGTTTGCCACTATCATACAGACCTTCGAGCAAGTTTCCAGACTTAACAGCCCTCAAACGAGCTCGCCACTGCAAGAATCACTTCCCTTTACGAGCGGTTCTGAGCCCAGAAAGCCGCGAAATCCGTGCCGGTATAAAATGTGGATATAACAGAATCAAATCCTGGTATACCATACACGATCATGTTTGCCACTATCATACAGACCTTAGGACAAGTTTCCAGATTTTGCAGCCCTCAAGTGAGCTCGCCACTGCAAGAATCACCATGCTATACGAGAGGTTCGGAGCCCTGAAAGCGGGGAAATCCGTGCCGGTATAGGATGTGGATATAAGAAAAATCAAATCCTGGTATACCATACACGATCATGTTTGCCACTATCACGCAGACCTTAGAGCAAGTTTCCAGATTTTACAGCCCTCAAACGAGCTCGCCACAGCTAGAATCACCCCCCTATAGGAGTGGTTATGAGCCCAGAAAGCCGCGAAATCCGTGCCGGTATAAAATGTGGATATAGGAAAAATCCAATCCTGGTATACCATACACGATCATGTTTGCCACTATCATACAGACCTTAGAGCAAGTTTCCAGATTTTACAGCCCTCAAAAGAGCTCGCCACTGCAAGAATCACCCCCCTATACGAGCGGTTCTGAGCCCAGAAAGCCGCGAAATCCGTGCCGGTATAAAATGTGGATATAAGAAAAATCAAATCATGGTACACCATACACGATCATGTTTGCCACTATCATACAGACCTTCGAGCAAGTTTCCAGACTTTACAGCCCTCAAACGAGCTCGCCACTGCAAGAATCACTTCCCTATATGAGCGGTTCTGAGCCCAGAAAGCCGCGAAATCCGTGCCGGTATAAAATGTGGATATAAGAAAAATCAAATCCTGGTATACCATACACGATCATGTTTGCCACTATCATACAGACCTTAGAGCAAGTTTCCAGATTTTACAGCCCTCAAACGAGCTCGCCACTGCAAGAATCAGCCCCCTATCCGAGCGGTTCTGAGCCCAGAAAGCCGCGAAATCCGTGCCGGTATAAAATGTGGATATAAAAAAATCAAATCATAGTATACCATACACGATCATGTTTGCCATTATCATGTAGACCTTAGGACAAGTTTCCAGATTTTACAGCCCTCAAACGAGCTCGCCACTGCAAGAATCACCCCCCTATACGAGAGGTTCGGAGCCTAGAAAGCCGCGAAATCCGTGCCGGTATAAAATGTGGATTTAAGAAAAATCAAATCCTGGTCTACCATACACGATCATGTTTGCCACATCACACAGACCTTAGAGCAAGTTTCCAGATTTTACAGCCCTCAAACGAGCTCGCCACAGCTAGAATCACCCCCTATAGGAGAGGTTATGAGCCCAGAAAGCCGCGAAATCCGTGCTGGTGTAAAATGTGGACAAAAGAAAAATCCAATCCTGGTATACCATACACGATCATGTTTGCCACTATCATACAGACCCTAGGACAAGTTTCCAGATTTTACAGCCCTCAAACGAGCTCGCCACTGCAAGAATCACCCCCCTATACGAGCGGTTCTGAGCCCAGAAAGCCGCGAAATCCGTGCCGGTATAAAATGTGGATATAATAAAAATCAAATCCTGGTACACCATACACGATCATGTTTGCCACTATCATACAGACCTTCGAGCAAGTTTCCAGACTTAACAGCCCTCAAACGAGCTCGCCACTGCAAGAATCACTTCCCTTTACGAGCGGTTCTGAGCCCAGAAAGCCGCGAAATCCGTGCCGGTATAAAATGTGGATATAAGAATAATCAAATCCTGGTATACCATACGCGATCATGTTTGCCACTATCATACAGACCTTAGAGCAAGTTTCCAGATTTTACAGCCCTCAAACGAGCTCGCCACTGCAAGAATCACCCCTCTATCCGAGCGATCGTGAGCCCAGAGAGCCGCGAAATCCGTACCGGTATAAAATGTGGATATAAAAAAAAATTCAAATCCTGGTATACCATACATGATCATGTTTGCCACTTTCATACAGACCTTAGAGCAAGTTTCCAGATTTTACAGCCCTCAAACGAGCTCGCCACTGCAAGAATCACCCCCCTATACGAGCGGTTTAGAGCCCAGAAAGCCGCGAAATCCGTGCAAGTATAGAATGTGGATATAAGAAAAATCAAATCCTGGTATACCATACATGATTATGTTTGCCACTATCATACAGACCTTAGAGCAAGTTTCCAGATTTTACAGCCCTCAAAAGAGCTCGCCACTACACCCCCCTATACGAGCGATTCTGAGCCCAGAAAGCCGTGAAATCTGTGCCAGTGTAAAACGTGGATATAAGGAAAATCAAATCCTGGTATACCATACACGATCATGTTTGCCACTATCATACAGACCGTAGAGCAAGATTTTAGATTTTACAGCCCCCAAACGAGCTCGCCAAAGCTAGAATCACCCCCCTATAGGAGCGGTTATGAGCCCAGAAAGCCGCGAAATCCGTGCCGGTATAAAATGTGGATAAAAGAAAAATCCAATCCTGGAATACCATACACGATCATGTTTGCCACTATCATGCAGACATTAGGAGAAGCTTCCAGATTTTACAGCCCTCATGTACTCATGCACTCATGCACTCATGCACTCATGCCCTCATGCCCTCATGCCCTCACGCCCTCATGCCCTCATGCCCTCATGCCCTCATGCACTCATGCCCTCACGCCCTCACGCCCTGATACCCTCATGCCCTCACGCCCTCATGCCCTCATGCCCTCACGCCCTCATGCCCTCATGCCCTCATGCCCTCATGCCCTCATGCCCTCATGCCGTCATGCCCTCATGCCCTCAAGCCCTCACGCCCTCACGCCCTCATGCCCTCACGCCCTCACGCCCTCATGCCCTCACGCCCTCATGCCCTCATGCCTTCATGCCCTCATGCCCTCATGCCCTCATGCCCTCATGCCCTCACGCCCTCATGCCCTCATGCCCTCATGCCCTCATGCCCTCATGCCCTCATGCCCTCATGCCCTCATGCCGTCATGCCCTCATGCCCTCACGCCCTTACGCCCTCATGCTCTCATGCCCTCATGCCCTCATGCCCTCATGCCCTCATGCCCTCACGCCCTCACGCCCTCATGCCCTCATGCCCTCATGCCCTCATGCCCTCATGCCCTCATGCACTCATGCCCTCACGCCCTCATGCCCTCACGCCCTCATGCCCTCACGCCCTCATGCCCTCATGCCCTCATGCCCTCATGCCCTCATGCCCTCATGCCGTCATGCCCTAATGCCCTCACGCCCTCATGCCGTCATGCTCTCATTTCCTCATGCACTCATGCCCTCATGCCCTCATGCCCTCATGCCCTCACGCCCTCATGCCCTCATGCCCTCATGCACTCATGCCCTCATGCCCTCACGCCCTCATGCCCTCATGCCCTCACGCCCTCATGCCCTCATGCCCTCATGCCCTCACGCCCTCATGCCTTCATGCCCTCATGCCCTCATGCCCTCATGCACTCATGCCCTCATGCCCTCACGCCCTCATGCCCTCATGCCCTCATGCCCTCACGCCCTTATGCCCTCATGCCCTCATGCCCTCATGCCCTCATGCCCTCATGCACTCATGCCCTCACGCCATCATGCCCTCATGCCCTCATGCCCTCATGCCCTCATGCCCTCATGCTCTCATGCCCTCATGCCCTCACGCCCTCACGCCCTCATGCCCTCATGCCCTCATGCACTCATGCCCTCATGCCCTCATGCCCTCATGCACTCATGCCCTCATGCCCTCACGCCCTCATGCCCTCATGCCCTCACGCCCTCACGCCCTCATGCCCTCATGCCCTCATGCCCTCACGCCCTCATGCCCTCATGCCCTCATGCACTCATGCCCTCATGCCCTCATGCACTCATGCCCTCATGCCCTCACGCCCTCATGCCCTCACGCCCTCATGCCCTCACGCCCTCATGCCCTCATGCCCTCATGCCGTCATGCCCTCATGCCCTCAGACCCTCATGCCCTTTTGCCCTCATGCCCTCATGCCCTCATGCCCTCATGCTCTCATGCCCTCATGCCCTCATGCCCTCATGCCCTCATGCCCTCATGCCCTCATGCACTCATGCCCTCATGCCCTCAGGCCCTCGTGCCCTTATGCCGTCATGACTTCATGCCCTCACGCCCTCATGCCCTCATGCCCTCATGCCCTCATGCACTCATGCCCTCATGCCCTCATGCCGTCATGCCCTCATGCCCTCACACCCTCATGCCCTCATGCCCTCATGCCCTCACGCCCTCATGCCCTCATGCCCTCATGCCCTCATACCCTCAGGCCCTCACGTCCTTATGCCCTCATGCCCTCATGCCCTCATGCCCTTATGCCCTCATGCCCTCATGCCCTCATGCCCTCATGCCCTCATGCACTCATGCCCTCATGCCCTCACGCCCTCATGCCCTCATGCCCTCATGCCCTCACGCCCTCATGCCCTCATGCCCTCATGCCCTCACGCCCTCATGCCCTCATGCCCTCATGCACTCATGCCCTCATGCCCTCATGCACTCATGCCCTCATGCCCTCACGCCCTCATGCCCTCACGCCCTCATGCCCTCACGCCCTCATGCCCTCATGCCCTCATGCCCTCATGCCCTCATGCCCTCATGCCCTCACGCCCTCACGCCCTCATGCCCTCATGCCCTCATGCACTCATGCCCTTTTGCCCTCATGCCCCCATGCCGTCATGACCTCATGCCCTCACGCCCTCATGCCCTCATGCCCTCATGCCCTCATGCACTCATGCCCTCATGCCCTCATGCCGTCATGCCCTCATGCCCTCACACCCTCATGCCCTCATGCCCTAATGCCCTCATGCACTCAGGCCCTCATGCCCTCATGCCCTCATGCCCTCATGCCCTCATGCACTCATGCCCTCATGCCCTCATGCACACATGCACTGCTGCACTCATGCCCTCATGCCCTCATGCCCTCATGCCCTCATGCCCTCATGCCCTCATGCCCTCACGCCCTCATGATCTCAAGCCCTCATGCCCTCATGCCCTCATGCCCTCATGCCCTCATGCCCTCATGCTCTCATGCCCTCACGCCATCATGCCCTCATGCCCTCATGCCCTCATGCCGTCATGCCCTCATGCACTCATGCCCTCATGCCCTCACGCCCTCATGCCCTCATGCCCTCATGCCCTCATGCCCTCATGCTCTCATGCCCTCATGCCCTCATGCCCTCATGCCCTAGTGCCCTCATGCCCTCATGCCCTCATGCCCTCATGCCCTCATGCCCTCATGCCCTCATGCCCTCATGCCCTCATGCCCTCACGCCCTCACGCCCTCATGCCCTCATGCCCTCATGCACTCATGCCCTTTTGCCCTCATGCCCTCATGCCCTCATGCCCTCATGCCCTCATGCCTTCATGCCCTCATGCCCTCATGCCCTCATGCCCTCATGCCCTCACGCCCTCATGCCCTCATGCCCTCATGCACTCATGCCCTCATGCCCTCACGCCCTCATGCCCTCATGCCCTCATGCCCTCATGCCCTCATGCCCTCATGCTCTCATGCCCTCATGCCCTCATGCCCTCATGCCCTAGTGCCCTCATGTCCTCATGCCCTCATGCCCTCATGCCCTCATGCCCTCATGCCCTCATGCCCTCACGCCCTCACGCCCTCATGCCCTCATGCCCTCATGCCCTCATGCCGTCATGCCCTCATGCCCTCACACCCTCATGCCCTCATGCCCTCATGCCCTCACGCCCTCATGCCCTCATGCCCTCATGCCCTCATACCCTCAGGCCCTCACGTCCTTATGCCCTCATGCCCTCATGCCCTCATGCCCTTATGCCCTCATGCCCTCATGCCCTCATGCCCTCATGCCCTCATGCACTCATGCCCTCATGCCCTCACGCCCTCATGCCCTCATGCCCTCATGCCCTCACGCCCTCATGCCCTCATGCCCTCATGCCCTCACGCCCTCATGCCCTCATGCCCTCATGCACTCATGCCCTCATGCCCTCATGCACTCATGCCCTCATGCCCTCACGCCCTCATGCCCTCACGCCCTCATGCCATGACGCCCTCATGCCCTCATGCCCTCATGCCCTCATGCCCTCATGCCCTCATGCCCTCACGCCCTCACGCCCTCATGCCCTCATGCCCTCATGCACTCATGCCCTTTTGCCCTCATGCCCCCATGCCGTCATGACCTCATGCCCTCACGCCCTCATGCCCTCATGCCCTCATGCCCTCATGCACTCATGCCCTCATGCCCTCATGCCGTCATGCCCTCATGCCCTCACACCCTCATGCCCTCATGCCCTAATGCCCTCATGCACTCAGGCCCTCATGCCCTCATGCCCTCATGCCCTCATGCCCTCATGCACTCATGCCCTCATGCCCTCATGCACACATGCACTGCTGCACTCATGCCCTCATGCCCTCATGCCCTCATGCCCTCATGCCCTCATGCCCTCATGCCCTCACGCCCTCATGATCTCAAGCCCTCATGCCCTCATGCCCTCATGCCCTCATGCCCTCATGCCCTCATGCCCTCATGCCTTCATGCCCTCATGCCCTCATGCCCTCATGCCCTCATGCCGTCATGCCCTCATGCACTCATGCCCTCATGCCCTCACGCCCTCATGCCCTCATGCCCTCATGCCCTCATGCCCTCATGCTCTCATGCCCTCATGCCCTCATGCCCTCATGCCCTAGTGCCCTCATGCCCTCATGCCCTCATGCCCTCATGCCCTCATGCCCTCATGCCCTCATGCCCTCATGCCCTCACGCCCTCACGCCCTCATGCCCTCATGCCCTCATGCACTCATGCCCTTTTGCCCTCATGCCCTCATGCCCTCATGCCCTCATGCCCTCATGCCTTCATGCCCTCATGCCCTCATGCCCTCATGCCCTCATGCCCTCACGCCCTCATGCCCTCATGCCCTCATGCACTCATGCCCTCATGCCCTCACGCCCTCATGCCCTCATGCCCTCATGCCCTCATGCCCTCATGCCCTCATGCTCTCATGCCCTCATGCCCTCATGCCCTCATGCCCTAGTGCCCTCATGTCCTCATGCCCTCATGCCCTCATGCCCTCATGCCCTCATGCCCTCATGCCCTCACGCCCTCACGCCCTCATGCCCTCATGCCCTCATGCACTCATGCCCTCATGCCCTCACGCCCTCATGCCCTCAGGCCCTCGTGCCCTCATGCCGTCATGACCTCATGCCCTCACGCCCTCATGCCCTCATGCCCTCATGCCCTCATGCCCTCATGCCCTCATGCCCTCATGCCGTCATGCCCTCATGCCCTCAGACCCTCATGCCCTTTTGCCCTCATGCCCTCATGCCCTCATGCCCTCATGCTCTCATGCCCTCATGCCCTCATGCCCTCATGCCCTCATGCCCTCATGCCCTCATGCCCTCATGCCCTCATGCCCTCACGCCCTCATGCCCTCATGCCCTTATGCCCTCATGCCCTCATGCCCTCATGCTCTCATGCCCTCATGCACTCATGCCCTCATGCCCTAGTGCCCTCATGCCCTCATGCACTCATGCCCTCATGCCCTCATGCCTTCATGCCCTCATGCACTCATGCCCTCATGCCCTCATGCCCTCATGCCCTCATGCCCTCATGCACTCATGCCCTCATGCCCTCACGCCCTCATGCCCTCATGCCCTCATGCCCTCACGCCCTCATGCCCTCATGCCCTCATGCCCTCATGCCCTCATGCCCTCATGCCCTAGTGCCCTCATGCCCTCATGCCCTCATGCCCTCATGCCCTCATGCCCTCATGCCCTCATGCACTCATGCCCTCATGCCCTCACGCCCTCATGCCCTCATGCCCTCATGCCCTCACGCCCTCATGCCCTCATGCCCTCATGCCCTCATGCCCTCATGCCCTCATGCCCTAGTGCCCTCATGCCCTCATGCCCTCATGCCCTCATGCCCTCATGCCCTCATGCCCTCATGCCCTCATGCCCTCATGCCCTCATGCACTCATGCCCTCATGCCCTCACGCCCTCATGCCCTCATGCCCTCATGCCCTCATGCCCTCATGCTCTCATGCCCTCATGCCCTCATGCCCTCATGCCCTAGTGCCCTCATGCCCTCATGCCTTCATGCCCTCATGCCCTTATGCCCTCATGCCCTCATGCCCTCATGCTCTCATGCCCTCATGCACTCATGCCCTCATGCCCTAGTGCCCTCATGCCCTCATGCCCTCATGCCCTCATGCCCTCATGCCTTCATGCCCTCATGCACTCATGCCCTCATGCCCTCATGCCTTCATGCCCTCATGCCCTCATGCACTCATGCCCTCATGCCCTCACGCCCTCATGCCCTCAGGCCCTCGTGCCCTCATGCCGTCATGACCTCATGCCCTCACGCCCTCATGCCCTCATGCCCTCATGCCCTCATGCCCTCATGCCCTCATGCCCTCATGCCGTCATGCCCTCATGCCCTCAGACCCTCATGCCCTTTTGCCCTCATGCCCTCATGCCCTCATGCCCTCATGCTCTCATGCCCTCATGCCCTCATGCCCTCATGCCCTCATGCCCTCATGCCCTCATGCCCTCATGCCCTCATGCCCTCATGCACTCATGCCCTCATGCCCTCACGCCCTCATGCCCTCATGCCCTCATGCCCTCATGCCCTCATGCTCTCATGCCCTCATGCCCTCATGCACTCATGCCCTCATGCCCTAGTGCCCTCATGCCCTCATGCCCTCATGCCCTCATGCCTTCATGCCCTCATGCACTCATGCCCTCATGCCCTCATGCCCTCATGCCCTCATGCACTCATGCCCTCATGCCCTCACGCCCTCATGCCCTCATGCCCTCATGCCCTCATGCCCTCATGCCCTCATGCCCTAGTGCCCTCATGCCCTCATGCCCTCATGCTCTCATGCCCTCATGCCCTCATGCCCTCATGCCCTCATGCACTCATGCCCTCATGCCCTCACGCCCTCATGTCCAGTTGGACAGTTGGACAGTTGGAAAGTTGGACAGTTGGACTGTTGGACAGTTGGACAGTTGGACAGTTGGACAGTTGGACAGTTGGACACTTGGACAGTTGGACTGTTGGACAGTTGGACAGTTGGACAGTTGGACAGTTGGACAGTTGGACTGTTGGACAGTTGGTGAGTTGGACAGTTGGACAGTTGGACAGTTGGACAGTTGGACAGTTGGACAGTTGGACAGTTGGACAGTTGGACTGTTGGACAGTTGGACTGTTGGACAGTTGGACAGTTGGACAGTTGGACAGTTGGACAGTTGGACAGTTGGACTGTTGGACAGTTGGACTGTTGGACAGTTGGACTGTTGGACAGTTGGACTGTTGGACTGTTGGACAGTTGGACAGTTGGACAGTTGGACAGTTGGACTGTTGGACAGTTGGACAGTTGGACTGTTGGACAGTTGGACAGTTGCACAGTTGGACAGTTGAACAGTTGGACTGTTGGACAGTTGGACTGTTGGACTGTTGGACTGTTGGACAGTTGGACAGTTGGACAGTTGGACAGTTGGACAGTTGGACAGTTGGACAGTTGGACAGTTGGACTGTTGGACAGTTGGACAGTTGGACAGTTGGACAGTTGGACAGTTGGACAGTTGGACTGTTGGACAGTTGGACAGTTGGACTGTTGGACAGTTGGACAGTTGCACAGTTGGACAGTTGGACAGTTGGAAAGTTGGACAGTTGGACTGTTGGACTGTTGGACAGTTGGACTGTTGGACAGTTGGACAGTTGGACAGTTGGACTGTTGGACAGTTGGACAGTTGGACAGTTAGACAGTTGGACAGTTGGACTGTTGGACAGTTGGACAGTTGGACAGTTGGACAGTTGGACAGTTGGACAGTTGGACAGTTGGACTGTTGGACTGTTGGACTGTTGGACAGTTGGACAGTTGCACAACTGGACAGTTGGACAGTTGGAAAGTTGGACAGTTGGGCAGTTGGACAGTTGGACAGTTGGACAGTTGGACAATTGGACAGTTGGACAGTTGGACAGTTGGACAGTTGGACAGTTGGACAGTTGGACAGTTGGACAGTTGGACTGTTGGACAGTTGGACAGTTGGACAATTGGACAGTTGGACTGTAAGACAGTTGGATAGTTGGACAGTTGGTCACTAGGACTGTTGGACAGTTGGACAGTTGGTGAGTTGGACAGTTGGACAGTTGGACAGTTGGACAGTTGGACAGTTGGACAGTTGGACAGTTGGACAGTTGGACTGTTGGACAGTTGGACAGTTGGACAGTTGCACAGTTGGACAGTTGGACAGTTGGACAGTTGGACAGTTGGACAGTTGGACAGTTGGACTGTTGGACAGTTGGACAGTTGGACAGTTGGACTGTTGGACTGTTGGACTGTTGGACAGTTGGACTGTTGGACAGTTGGACAGTTGGACTGTTGGACTGTTGGACAGTTGGACAATTGGACAGTTGGACAGTTGGACTGTTGGACTGTTGGACAGTTGGACAGTTGGACAGTTGGACAGTTGGACAGTTGGACTGATGGACAGTTGGACAGTTGGACAGTTGGACAGTTGGACTGATGGACAGTTGGACTGTTGGACAGTTGGACAGTTGGACAGTTGGACAGTTGGACAGTTGGACTGTTGGACAGTTGGACAGTTGGACAGTTGGACAGTTGGACAGTTGGACAGTTGGACTGTTGGACAGTTGGACAGTTGGACAGTTGGACAGTTGGACAGTTGCACAGTTGGACAGTTGGACAGTTGGAAAGTTGGACAGTTGGACTGTTGGACTGTTGGACAGTTGGACTGTTGGACAGTTGGACAGTTGGACAGTTGGACTGTTGGACAGTTGGACAGTTGGACAGTTGGACAGTTGGACAGTTGGACTGTTGGACAGTTGGACAGTTGGACAGTTGGACAGTTGGACAGTTGGACAGTTGGACAGTTGGACTGTTGGACTGTTGGACTGTTGGACAGTTGGACAGTTGCACAACTGGACAGTTGGACAGTTGGAAAGTTGGACAGTTGGGCAGTTGGACAGTTGGACAGTTGGACAGTTGGACAATTGGACAGTTGGACAGTTGGACAGTTGGACAGTTGGACAGTTGGACAGTTGGACAGTTGGACAGTTGGACTGTTGGACAGTTGGACAGTTGGACAATTGGACAGTTGGACTGTTAGACAGTTGGACAGTTGGACAGTTGGTCACTAGGACTGTTGGACAGTTGGACAGTTGGTGAGTTGGACAGTTGGACAGTTGGACAGTTGGACAGTTGGACAGTTGGACAGTTGGACAGTTGGACTGTTGGACTGTTGGACAGTTGGACAGTTGCACAGTTGGACAGTTGGACAGTTGGACAGTTGGACAGTTAGACAGTTGGACAGTTGGACTGTTGGACAGTTGGACAGTTGGACAGTTGGACTGTTGGACTGTTGGACTGTTGGACAGTTGGACTGTTGGACAGTTGGACAGTTGGACTGTTGGACTGTTGGACAGTTGGACAATTGGACAGTTGGACAGTTGGACTGTTGGACTGTTGGACAGTTGGACAGTTGCACAGTTGGACAGTTGGACAGTTGGGCAGTTGGACAGTTGGACAGTTGGACAGCTGGACAGTTGGACTGTTGGACAGTTGGACAGTTGGACAGTTGGACAGTTGGACAGTTGGACAGTTGGACAGTTGGACAGTTGGACAGCTGGACAGTTGGACAGTTGGACAGTTGGACACTTGGACAGCTGGACAGTTGGACAGTTGGACAGTTGGACAGTTGGACTGTTGGACAGTTGGACAGTTGGACAGTTGGACAGTTGGACTGATGGACAGTTGGACAGTTGGACTGTTGGACAGTTGGACAGTTGGACAGTTGCACAGTTGGACAGTTGGACAGTTGGACAGTTGGACAGTTGGGCAGTTGGACAGTTGGACAGTTGGACAGTTGGACAGTTGGACAGTTGGACAGTTGGACGGTTGGACAGTTGGACAGTTGGACTGTTGGACAGTTGGACAGTTGGACAGTTGGACAGTTGGACTGTTGGACAGTTGGACAGTTGGACTGTTGGACAGTTGGACAGTTGGACAGTTGGACTGTTGGACTATTGGACAGTTGGATAGTTGCACAGTTTAGGGGTTGGACTATTGGACAGTTGGACTGTTGGACAGTTGGACTATTGGACAGTTGGACAGTTGGACTGATGGACAGTTGGACTGTTGGACTGTTGGACTGTTGGACTGTTGGACTGTTGGACAGTTGGACAGTTGGACAGTTGGACTGATGGACAGTTGGACAGTTGGACAGTTGGACAGTTGGACTGTTGGACTGTTGGACAGTTGGACAGTTGGACAGTTGGACAGTTGGACACTTGGACAGCTGGACAGTTGGACAGTTGGACAGTTGGACAGTTGGACTGTTGGACTGTTGGACAGTTGGACAGTTGGACAGTTGGACAGTTGGACAGTTGGACTGTTGGACAGTTGGACAGTTGGACTGTTGGACAGTTGGACTGTTGGACAGTTGGACAGTTGGACAGTTGGTCACTAGGACTGTTGGACAGTTGGACAGTTGGTGAGTTGGACAGTTGGACAGTTGGACAGTTGGACAGTTGGACAGTTGGACAGTTGGACTGTTGGACTGTTGGACTGTTGGACTGTTGGACTGTTGGACTGTTGGACAGTTGGACTGTTGGACTGTTGGACAGTTGGACAGTTGGACAATTGGACAGTTGGACAGTTGGACTGTTGGACTGTTGGACAGTTGGACAGTTGCACAGTTGGACAGTTGGACAGTTGGACAGTTGGGCAGTTGGACAGTTGGACAGTTGGACAGCTGGACAGTTGGACTGTTGGACAGTTGGACAGTTGGACAGTTGGACAGTTGGACAGTTGGACAGTTGGACAGTTGGACAGTTGGACAGCTGGACAGTTGGACAGTTGGACAGTTGGACACTTGGACAGTTGGACAGTTGGACAGTTGGACAGTTGGACAGTTGGACTGTTGGACTGTTGGACAGTTGGACAGTTGGACAGTTGGACAGTTGGACTGATGGACAGTTGGACAGTTGGACTGTTGGACAGTTGGACAGTTGCACAGTTGGACAGTTGGACAGTTGGACAGTTGGACAGT